TGATGAAAAGGTTTTTAAGGGTTCTAATACAGTTTTTACAGGTGAGTTAATAACAGGTTCTTCCTTATGTTCTTTTAATATTTTAATAAGTTCTCCACATTCTTCTAAAGTTTTTAAGATTTGTTCATGTTTTTCAGTGATTTCTGCTATAGCTTTCTTCATTTTTTCATTGAAACTTTTACTACTTGTCATTTTTGTACCTGCTCAAAAAATCAGCTAAAACATTTTTAGTTCCAGATATAGGTTTAATAGTGAAATCATAATAACAAAAGAAAGATTGCCAATATCTTCTTCTATTTAATTCTGGCAAAGGATCTATTTTATTCATAATAAAGGCTCTTACTTGAGTATTATCTGTTCTTACTACAAATTTTACTGGTAGTTCCAGATATAGGTTTAATAGTGAAATCATAATAACAAAAGAAAGATTGCCAATATCTTCTTCTATTTAATTCTGGCAAAGGATCTATTTTATTCATAATAAAGGCTCTTACTTGAGTATTATCTGTTCTTACTACAAATTTTACTGGTAGTAAATGATAATGAAATCTTTTTATTCCTAATTTTACTGCTAATACCTCTTTCTCATTTATATGATAATTTTGTTCATTAGGTTTCCATGTTCCTGATCCATATCCACATATTAAAGATTTTTCTTTGTCTATATCTTCTTTAGTATAAGCTACTAATACTGCTCCCCATCCTATGTCACTAGCATCTGTATATAATTCTAATTGATCATCTTTTTCTGGCAATCTTAATTTTGGTAAAGATTCTACTTTTTCTTTTATTGTTTTAATAGCATTAGTATGTTCTTCTTTCCAGTCAAATATATTAGATTTTTTAATTAAACTTTGTAAGGGTTTTCTAAGTGTTGGTAAATCTTTAATATAGTCTGATGCATAATTTACTATTCCTAAGAATTGTTGTACTTCTTTTTTATTATCTAATTTTTCTTTAAAATCTTTTATTTTTGTTACAATGTGTTCTTGTAGTTGTAATCCTTCTTCTGAAATTATATATCCTAAATATTCAATTTTATTTTTAAATATTTCAGATTTCTTTTCAGATAATAAGATTCCATGTTTTCTAACCGTTTTAATAAATTCATTCAAATGTTCTACATGATCTTTTAGAGTATTACTATATATTAAAATATCATCTACATATACTATGCAAAATTCATTTAAATTTCTAAAAACTTGATCCATCCTTCTTTGATATATTTGTGGTGCATTTTTTAATCCAAAAGGTAATACTTTCCATTCATATTGTCTTTGAGGGGCACTAAAGGCTGTTAAAGGTTGTGCTTCTTTAGTAAGTTTTATTTGCCAAAATCCACTTTTACAGTCAAATTTACTAAACCATTTCTTACTAGCTATTCTGTTTATTAAATTTCTTTTATATGGTAAAAAATATCCATCAAATATTATTTTCTTGTTTAACTCCCTATAATCAATTACCATTCTAGCTTTTCCTCTTTTTTGCTCACTATGTTTTCTTACTAGGAAGGCTGGGCTACTGTGTGGACTAATACTTTCTTTTATTATTCCTAATTCTAATAATTCTTTTATTTGTATTTCAAATTCTTTTTGATCAGTTGGACTATATCTTATAGGTTTACTTCTTATAATATCATTTGGATTTATTAATTTTATATCAGCATATATCTTTTCTTTATCCCATAAAGTGATAGGATTTTCTCCAAAATTTATTTTTAATAATTCCAAATATTTTTGTTTTAATTGTTCTAAATTATTATTTCTGTCTATTTTAATGTTGTATATTTTTAGGAAATGTATTGGTAAAATTCTTTTTAATATTACCCATTTGTTACATGGTGTTAATAGGCTTAATGTCTTGCTATTTATTACTTGCGTTTTGAAAAAGTCTAAAAAATTATTTCCTAATAATAAAGGGTGTTTCATATTATTTTCTTGGTATACTATTGGTATTTTAAATATTAATTTATCTAATATAATTTTTACATCTTCAGCTATTACATTTAACTCTTTATTATGTTCATTAAATCCTGAGACTTTTATTCTATGTCTGTTTGATTTTTTCCATCGGTATGGTGCTATTACTTCTTTTTTAGCTAAACATATATCTGCTCCGCTATCTATAAATATTTTTTGTATTGCCATCTTATTAGGTTTATATTCTACATAGGTTTCTATATAAACTGCTACCATATTTTATCCTTATATAATAAATGATAATAATAAATTTCCATAATTTTATCTTTTAAATCTTCTCCTAATATTTCTTCTAACAAATTTTCTACTCTTTTTAAAGTTATCATTTGTTCTATGAAGTTTCTTTCAATATTTTTTATGAATTTTATCTGCATTAATACTAACCATCCTTTTTCCATTATTCTGAACTTTCTTCTTCACTACTTTCATTATTACTAAGTTCATTAATATTTTCTTCTTCTGGTTCTGTTTCACTAATATAAAATATTTCATATTCATACCATTGGTCATTTTCTTCTTGTATTTGCTCTAAGTTCATGATAAATTCAGTAGTATTAAGATATTTTACTCCTTTTTGTTTTAGTTTAGGGCATTTATTTGCATAATGTCCTTTTTCATTACAATTCCAACATCTACATTCATAAGGTTTTTTATTTTCTCCTTCTAATGGTCTCATATTCTTTCTTCTTTTTCTAAATTTTCTCTTATTTCTAAATCTTCTCCTATTTTCAGGGGTATTTCTATATTTTCTAAATTTTTTCCTTTTATATCTCTTATAATATGGTTTATAATATGACTTGTAGTAAGATTCATTGTTTCTGTTTTTCCTATATTTCTTATATTTTTTAGAGTATTTTCTTTTCCTTCTTTTGTCTTTAAAAACTTACAAAGATTTAAAAATTTCGAATACCCAGATTAAAATTATGAGTAGTAAGGATAAATTCACAGCTAGAAGAATTATTAAAGTACTTGATAAAGGAATACAAGTAAACAAAGAAGCTTTAGTAGAAATAAAAAGGACTTATGAAATTCTTAAAGAAATTCACAATAATTTTCAAGAAAAATATCATAAAATGAAACATGAAATTACTTCAGAAGTAAAAGATGGCAACAACACAATTATAAAGATAGAAACAGAAATAAAAGAAGTGACCCAACAATTAAACCAAATAGCCCACGAAATAAAAAACACTGAAATAGGAATTAAAAAAATTAGAAACATTAAGGTATAGAATTTTAACACATCTATTTACTTAATCTCTTACTCATTTTTATCCCTATCGCCTTCCCGCAACAAATTGGTATAAGGTATAGAATTTTAACACATCTATTTACTTAATCTCTTTTTATTATAAAAACTGCTTGTATATTCAAACATTTTTAAAAAATATATTATAATAAAATGTTTATATGGTGATATTTTGGAAATCAACGTAAATTGTTTGGTTTTAGTGATGTTCTTTATATGTTGTCATAACAGGAGGAAAATTACATGCTTCAATTTTAATTATGATGTTCCTTTTTATGTTGCCTACAAAGGTGCTATCGAGCTACAAGTTACTTAACATTTTAGAGTTTAGATCTAATCATTCTATTTCAATTTTTATAATTTTGGTCCTTTAATTCTTAAAAGAGCTATAGATTTTAAGCTCCAGTTGTCTCTAAAGTTGATTTGGAGAAAAATTAGAAAGCTAAAAGGGAGATTTTCTAAAAAAAAAAAAAAAAAAAAAAAAAAAAAAAAAAAAGACCACTGCAATCACAAATTGTCACACCTGAGCTGTTTGCCATTGCATAAACTCCTCGCTCAATGACCATATATTACTCATATGGATTCCCACAAATTGGGATAATATCAAATAAAATAATAACGAGTTAATACCCAAAATTGTCTTCGACTATAGTGGTTTTTCTCAATTTTGTCCTAAACGACTTTGGTGACCTAATATAGTCCCAGACTTTTGTGTTTCGCTCAATTTAGTCCCCCGTTTGTTATTCCGTCAAATTGGTGTTAAATAAAGGGACAATTCAATAATATCAATATTGACCTCTCTTTACTTTCAACCTGCGAAGTGAGAAATCTCTCTTTCTTACACGAATTACACCCAGAGTTACTCTCAGACCTACGAATCAAATTTTATATTCGCAGCTTTAGAAGTGATTCTGGGAGTAATTCGTAAAAAAAGAGGGATTTCGCACTTCACATGTCTATGAATAAAGAGATGCCAATATTAAAATTACTGAATTGTCTATTTATTTAACAACAAATAGACGGAATAACAAATGGGGGACTAAATTGAGCAAAAACACAAAAGTCTGGGACAAAATTGAGTAAAAACACAAAACTCTGGAACTACATTAAGTCACCAAAGACGTTTAGGACAAAATTGAGAAAAACCACTATAGTCGAAGACGATTTTGGGTATCTACAATCAATTAATATACATCCTTTATATAATAAAGCTATATGGTTTGGGAAATAATTAATGCTACAATTAATGTCATAATATCTTTTATTATAAAAAAAAAAAAAAAAAAGCACAACATTTAAGAAATAAAATAATTATATATTATATAATCATATAAAAATATACTTTTGAAAAATAAAATAGCTATATATTATATAATCATATAAAAAATGTGTTCAATTAGAGTTTAAATTTACACATACAAAATTTGAAATTTGCTTTCCAAATGTAATTATCTTAGTTATTATTCATATTGTGAAAATCATAATATAGATGAAATACAATTAAGAATAAATCAATGTAATTATGTAAATTCTCTCTATAAGTTTATTTGAATATGCACATAATTAGAGATTATATTAACCATACAAAATTTTAATTGTAATTTTGTATTCTATAAAAATAATAAATACTTGACCAATGGAAGCTCAAAAATATTATTATATTAAATAATTTAAAATATTTTAGTTTTTCTATTTTTTATTTATATTTATAATAACATAATTTTTTCTCGTGCATCGCGCGGGTGAATTACTAGTATTTGAAAGAGCTATGATGTTCAATACTTGTATTTACTCCCAAAACACTTGAATTAAAATAAATTAAAGTACAATTAAATACAAAATCAAATTCAATTAGAACACTATTGTTTATGAATAACAGAGTACATATATACGTATATACAGGGACATTTACACATACTACACTCCCTGGCCATCAAGAAACTGCATTTTCTCATCATTTACAATTTTATGTTAATAATTTCAATGTGAGGAATATGAGATATTTTTGTGTAGTTTTCACCATTTGGTTCTAGAGTAAGCATCAATTTATCGTTTAAAGAAGTGAATTGAATTGAGTTGAGTTTAGACAAATGTTGAATACCCAAAGGTACCTGTTCAAGCAACTTGCAATTAACCAAGCCGAGCTCTTCAAGAAGGGGTATTGCACCTTCCTCCACCATTATCCATTTCAGTGCCGTGAAGGAATTAATATTCAAAAACTTGAGCTTTGGGAACTTTCCAGCCTTGAAACACAACCCTTCACCTTCATAAGACTCAATAAGTAGAAGATGTGCTAACATGGGTAGATCTTGGAGAAGCAGTAGTGGATCTTCAAGAACACAACTATTCCTCAACTCTAGTTTAGTTAGACTTACAAGTGAAGATAACCATTGAGGGATACTCTCTAGACGCCCATCCAATTTCAATGTACGAAGACAATGAGGAATTGTAGATAAAGAATGTTGGATATCAAGGATATCCTTTCCATCTGCCACAAGCTTTAAAGAGATAAGGTTTGTCAACTTTTCAATGGATGAACATAATTCTTTTCCATCTTCTTGTCTCAAATCTACAACTCCAAGCTTTCTCAGTTGTGCTAGATTCCCTATCTCAGACACCACTTTGACGCCATTAGTTTTCTTTGCCCGTATATTATACAATTTTTGTAAAAACAACAATCTCCCGATCTCAAAAGGAGCATAAAAACCATCATCATGTATAGAGCACACAGCAAGATGCTGGAGTTTATGAAGTTTTCCAATCTCAACTGGCAACTTATGCACATATGCGTACTTCAGGTCAAGAATCTCTAAGTTTTGAAGACGTCCTATGGATTTAGAAACAATATGTACCCCTGTGTTTCTCAAACTCAAATACTTCAAATGAAACAACTTGAAAACTTCCTTTGGAATATCAAATAGAAAAGCATCACTTAAATCTAACACCTTCAGAGGAATGTAATAATCAAAGGACAACAGCTTATATATTGACATTAAAACCAGCAATACCCCATTCTCATAGAACTGTAATGAACGAATATGACTTTTGGAGGAAGTGCACTTTAGAATGTCTTCATCATATCCATGGATTATTAGGCGTCGACACTTGTCGGACCATTCTTTGTTCTGTCCAGTGAGGATGACTGCAAAGTTTTGCTCTAATGCCTTTGAAAGGATTATTTCTCGTAAAATATCATGGACTCGTAATCCAATAATCCTTCCCACAGGAGACTTCTCTGCAATTTGGATTAAGTTTCGATGAATTAGCTGATTGAGATAAGCTTCTGCAACTTCTTCTTTCACTTGATTACCATTCTCCTGGACAAAGCCTTCTGCAATCCACTGTCTAATGAGTCTGTTTTTTTCAATTTTGGCATCTTCAGGGTAGATGCTAAAGTACAAGAAACAGTACTTTAGATGATATGGAAGATCATAGTAACTCAAGGATAATAGATTCTTCAAGTTTTCCATCCTGCAGTCATTGGTTTTCAATTGAAGGTTAACACCGTTCTGGAAACTTTTCCATTCTGCAATATCCTCACCCTTGGTCGCCAATATACCGGCAATTACCACAATAGCCAGAGGCAGACCACCACATCTATTTACAATATCTTCGGCAATTTTCACCAAATGTGGAGGACATGAATCACTCAAAAATGTTTTTTTGCAAAACAGTTCCCATGAATCTTCCTTAGACAAAAGCTTCAACTCGTACACATCTCCTTTGGTTTCATGACATGCATCCCGCCCTATATCACTATTCCTTGTTGTGATAACTATTCGGCTACCAAACTTTTGTCCAGGAAAAGCATATTTGATGGAGCTCCAAACATCAAAACTCCATACATCATCAAAAACAATGATGTATTTTTGCTCTGAAAGAATGTTCCTAACAGATTCTATCAATTTAGCAGAGTCCCAGGCTTCAAAACCATTTGGAGGATTCCCTAGTTGCTTAATTACATCTTTGAGCAACTCCTCAATCTTGAATGTTTCTGAAACTGTAACCCACACACGATGCTGAAAGTGCTTTATCACTTGTGCATCATCATAAGCCTTTTTAACCAAAGTGGTCTTCCCCAATCCCCCCATGCCCACCACAGAGTGAACCCTCAAATCATCATCAACAGCACCAAGAAGGAGTTTAATAAGAGAGTGCTTGGAATTTTCAAAACCTACCAGATCCGAGTCTTTTTGGAAAAGGGCATCCACTCGGCCATCATGCAATTGTTGGTTGTGAACAGTAGTTGTTGGCAAGATTGGCTGATATTGGGAGTTTTCGCTGATTCTGGCCTTGATCTTTTGCAGTGCAAGTGCAAGCCTGTGCTGAGCTTTCAAGTTCTTGGCAGAAGTGAATTTGTTCTTCATCTTAGTGAAGAATCCTCCACCAGTGTGGCGACCTCCAAAGCGGAACAGGAATTCGTCAAGAACATCTTCGGTGTCATAAGCCAGCTCCCGAACTATCTTCACCCAAGCTTTAACTTGAGGATCCATTTCTTCCCTCTCGTCAGCAACTCTCAAAGCTGCCCTTAGACGACTCAAGGCATTCATGATGTATTCTGCGTCTTCTCTAATCCCTCCCAAGAGTGACCACTCTTCACTGATCACCGCTGATAGTTGGTGCAAAAGAAACTCTACAGCAGCTTCCGCCATTAGTACAGATACTGAAATTACTTGTATGTAATGTCACCGGCAAAGAATCGGTAGCGTAGCTACTTGGGGGTGTTGTTTTATGGGAGATCAAACAAGATTTTAGCTAGAGTGCAGAATGGAATGATTTTTTTTCTTTTCTTTTAAATTCTTGCAGAGTATTATGTATGGTCAGTAGTGATGACCTCTGATGAAGAAGATGCAAAATTATTGGCATCCTCAATAATTGAAGGTTAAAGACAAAGTGGACTCCTCGAGTCAACTCAACTATTACCCACCTATTTACACCTACCATAACAAAATATACTACTACTGCTAGTTGGGTAATCCCTGTTAAGTTTGTCGTATTGTTTGACTTGATAATTACATTTTTTTTTTAATCAATCAGCTAATTTAATTTATTTAATTGTGATTATTTGTCATTTAAGATTACAAAATGGAATGCACACCCTTAAATAGTTGCTACCAATTTTTCTGGTCACTAAAAAAATCAATATACTACCCACCGACAACAAGTATATCTTTTTTTCCTAATAAGTATTACATTTTCCTCATAAGTGTTCAACCCTAAATATTATATCTTGATTTAAAAGTATTACATCATACATTTTTCCTCAAAAGTATCACATTTTTCCTAAGTGTTATATTTTTCTTATAAGTAATAATCAATTATTTATGTATTATTAGTATTACACTTTTCCTTTTCTTATAAGTATTACATTTTTCTTATAAGTAATAATCAATCATTTCTCTCTCTCCATCTCTCTCTTTTGCTGGTGTCAAATGGATTGGTTGACCTACAATTTGTATGGTCATTATTTACACTAGAATAGGCTAGCCTAATTAAAATATGGGTCTGATCGCGTTGGTCTAAACAATAAAAATCATTGTTTGACCTAGCCCAAATAATAAAATCATGGAATCACTCAAAAACGGCAAATTATTGTATGGACCATGGTCCACACAGTGTTATGTGGACCATAACAAAAAATATATTTTTAATATATTAAATGTACATTATTTTTGTACTGAGTGTACATTATACAACATAATGTACACTCAGTACAAAAATAATGTACATCCTCTGAATACAATGTACATTATTTTTGTGCTGAGTGTACATTATTTTTGTACTGAATGTACATTATTTTAGTATATAAAATATGGTCCACACAACTTGTATGGACCATGGTCCACACAATAATGATTGCTCAAAAACTTGTTTCTCTCTCTTAAAATCTTTTCTTGCGGATTTCTGTCAACACTTAAGTCAATTAGCGAAGTGCTCGCCTGTTGTTCTAGTTCGTCGAAATTTTTGTTTGAGTGTTCAAACATTAAGTCGTGATCAATTTTATCTTGAGAAAGTAACGCTACAACGCTCTTAGCACCCCGGAAAGATAGGGAATCAGTTTTAAGAAAAGTGTGTGGTATACACGACTTGAATCTCCCTTTTCTTTCGTTTGGATTTATATAATCTAATATTTAAAAACCCTCTTTTTATTTTTATTTTTTAAATTTTTGTATAAATAAATTGGATCTTTTGAGTTTGTACCAAGTTTTAGTTGTGATTAATTTTTCTAAATTAAATCTCAATATTTGTTTAAATATATTTTTATATATATTGTATTTTAATTTATCGACTTATTCTACACCTACTAACCGTGTGTTACAGAAACTTAATGACTTGTTGCCGTGGGCGGAGAAGAATTGTTAGCTACTTGGCGGTGTAGTTTATTGACTGGTCTGGGAGCTCAAACAAGATTTTAGTTTGCAAAAATATTATTTGTGATTAATTATTCTAAATTAAATCTCTTTATTTGTTTAAATATATATATATATATATATATATATATATATATATATATATATATTGTATTTTATCGACTTATTCTACACCTACCAACCGTGTGGTACAGAAACTTAATGACTTGTTGTCGTGGGCGGAGAAGAATTGGTAGCTACTTGGCGGTGTAGTTTATTGACTGGGAGCTCAAATAAGACTTTAGTCTGCAGCAAAATTATTGAGATTCAAAATAACAATTCTTTGGGAAGAATAATTAAAGGCTAAAGCGGACCAAAACAACGAACACAAGTTGTTGGATGCCATTTCTCCACCGTCATTTTTTATCATTATCTTCAAGTTGTTCATCAAATAGGCCACATCTAACAAAACAATCTAAACATGCCAATTAAGCATGGACCCCACTCACATGCCAATAATACAAATGTTCAATTATGCACCATCAAACCTATTACGTGGCTCACGGGTCGAATATAGATAGGCCTTTCATATGCATCATATATTTATAGATAGGTCTTTCATATGCATCATATATTTCTAAAATCACACATCATCTTTAAATAGGTAATTTTATTACCTAAGGTAATTGTTGTATATGTTTGTTATTGGGAGAAGACAGGTGGCAGAGCGTAGTAAAACGAAGTGAGTTGAGTAATGCAAAATAAAGTGAAATGGTACTAATACGATCCCACCTCGGTTCCACAAGAGATTGTGGAGTGATACATAAGTAGTTGGAGTTTTTTGCATTTTTGGTCCCACGACTATAGTGGCACTAGCAGAATTGATCCATGACTTTTGAACCTTGCAATTTTAGTCCACAACTATTGATTTTTTTGCAAAAATGGTCCTTCCGGCCACTTTTCCGTCAAAATTCTACCGGAAATTTTTTTTATCAATTTTTAACAGGGTTAAAATTGACATTTTACTTATCTCAAAAAATAAAAGAAAAAAATTGACATTTGACTACATACAATATTACTGGGCTACATATTACTGCGGACTGACCCAGGCGGCGGAGTTCCTAGAGCAGGTAA